ATATATATTATTTTATAATTTTTCTTTCATAAAGTTCAACAAGGAAGAGCAGACAAACCTGTCTCTGGAATATCTTACATGTAGGTGGTTTTCCTGCCAGAACCTTAAGAAACACAAAAGACAAATCACTTAGAACACAACAACCATACCCAAAACATTCATATTCAAACTTAAACAATGAATTAAAACCAAACCCGATTCAAGATAAGACGTGTGAAGAAGAGGAGGCACCTCATGGGTTTGCTGCTCAAGCTCCCTCATAGCAGCAGCACCAGCACCACTAGCAGCTTGATACGTACTAACAACCATTCTCAATACCTGAAACCATTTTTGTTAGGCCAATGTTAAGTGTCACAATGTGATGATCTTTACCTATGATGAAAATGTCAGTTTTGGTAAAAATTTCAAGGGTTTGGATTTATGGAAGTATTTTTGTTAAGTATCGATGTCATCATGTCAGTGTCCGGTAAATTATGTTGGTAAAATTTGACATTCTTCAAAAATATGGATTGGAAACCTGTAATCATGATAATATTGCCCAAATATAGATAAAATTCTAGATGTCTACTTCTTTGATAAACTACCACTCAAGGCCCGTTTGACAAATACATTTTAAACCATGATTTTGATTCTGCTGTTTTCCTCTCTTAAAAAACTTTAATTCAAAAAATCTCCAACCAATGTTCTCTCACAAAATTCCCGCCAATAAATCAAAATCATGCGTTCAACCAAACGGGCCCTCAGTTTTACCAATCACGTATTCAAATGCCAAGAACTCGCAGATTATTAAATGGACAGTAAAAATCTTAAGATTACCAGCAAAAAAACACATGACATCACATTTTTTATAATACTCATTGAAACGAAACTCATCCAGACATAAATAAATCCAATCATAAATCACATTTTAATCCAAGCATAAAAAGCACAAAACTTTACTCATCAGAAACCAAAGGATTATATTTGTTCAACCAATCAAATTTTCATCAACAATGTTGATATTAGCAACTTCAACCGCAAAACACTCCCAAAAACTTCAAAAAAAAAAAAGTTCACTAACATTTGAACGCCGATGCAGAGGCGTGGCGGCGACCAAGCAAATGATGGTGGAGCAATTAGGGTTGGCGATAAGCGCGCCTTTTCCCTTTCCAACCTTAATCCCTTCCATGGCCTCCGGATTAACCTCCGGTATGACGAGCGGCACGCCATCCTGCATCCGAAAAGCTGAGCTGTTGTCGACAACAATGGCGCCGCGGTCGACGGCGAGAGGACCGAACTCTTTGCTGATGGAGCCGCCGGCGCTGAAGAGCGCTATGTCGACGCCATTGAAGCTGTCCTCGGTGAGCTCCTCGACGACGTAGCTCCGGCCCTGGAAAGCGATGTTCTGGCCGGCGGAGCGCTTGGAGGCGAGCATTTTGATGGAGCGGTAGGGGAAGTCGCGGTCGGCGAGGACGGAGAGGAACTCCTGCCCGACGGCGCCGGTGACGCCGACGACGGCGAGAGAGGGGGCGTTTTCCTGGAGGGACATCCGGACACGGGCTGGGCAGGGCCGGGAGTTGGATTGGGGGAGGCGTGCCCCGCCCAGGAAGTGAGAGTGGAGGTGCTGTTGGGTTAGAGACGCCATTTTTGAGTTGGCGAGGTTTAGAGAGAGAATGACAGAGAGGGTTTTAGGAGAGAGAGAGAGGCGGCTGAAGAAGTCGATGATACGCTTGCAGTTGGACTTGGAGCGACAGTGGTTTAAACATTTTTTAAGCACTAGCTGGTTAGCATTATTGAATTAATAACTGTAATTACAAAAGTAACCCTCACATTCAAAACTTTTTACGCTTTTCAAAATATTAATGGTCGTTTCGGTCCGTGTTTAAGGGAGTGATTTTCATTATCAACTCAAATTTTATGAGAGAATTTATTGGTAGAAATTTTTTTATTTAAATTTTTTACGAGAGAAAAATATTATAGTAGAATTAGTATTAAGGATTTAAATACCTGAAATAATCGTGTCTTAAATAGTGTCGCAAAATTCATTCTACACTAATTATTTTATATTCTGTGTTACATTATCTTATCTTATTTTACACATATAAAAATGCAAATGTGGACTTAGTTTCTTTCATTTTGTTCAATTGGGTTTGTTCCTATTCTTTTCACAATTCTTATGTATAGCGGGTAGGAATTATATATTTACTGTTATATTAGTTTTTTATTATTTGCAGTGAGAATAATTTTGTGTTATGTATTGTAAATTTTTATTGTGGGCATGCACAAATTTGACCGTAAAAAATATAATTTAATGAGTAAAAACAATCATAGCAAAGATTAAGTATTATCTTTCAATAAGCTTAAGATGTATAAAACAAAATAAGCTCAATATGTATATTACAAAAATATAGGGCATGTTTGGAATTGTTTTTCATCTTATTTTTTATTCTACATGTCTTTTAAGGTAAGAAAATAAAAGGTCTCTAAACTGCGTTTGGGTAGCACATATTTTGAAAATGAGAATGGAAACAAAAAAAATTAATAAGTAGAAAATAGTTAAAAGTTATTTTCTAATTTTTATTTTCATTTTCTAATTTATCACTTAATATGCATTTTTTAAAATACTAGTTAGACTCCATGTGCTATGGACGAGGATAGTAATTTATGTATTCAGTTTTGATTACCATGTTATTATTAAAGCATATAAAATTTGAATATAAAATCCCAAAATGAAAGAAGGAGATGCGTTAAAATACACATTTCAATTAAAGTTGTGTTAAAGTCGAATATTATACATGTATAGATAAGTATAACATATTATCAATGAAACTATTATGTTCAGATGAATCAAGTAGAAAATTAATCAAACTGTACATATGAAAAAAAAACCTTCAAATAAGGGCGCATTTCGAAATAATTATCTCAATGGGGTAAAATAATATTTTAAGGGCTATACTTTTTAAATATACATTTTAAAGGATTGAAATGAAAGGTTTGAAAGAAAGTTAAAAAAAATAAAAATAAAAATAAATAAAAACTTCATATTTGAAATAATTATTTTAGTGGAGTAAAATAAAATTTTAAGGGGTATATTTGTTAAATGTATACTTTAAGGGATTGAAATGAAAAGCTAGAAAAGAAAGTTAAAGGGAAAAAAAAAAGAAAAGGAAAAGCACAAATAACTTGATTAAAAGTTTAAATAGTATTTTGTGAGAGGATGAATAGTGAAATGTATTCACATTTCTTCAGAGCTGCAAGTGTACGTTGGGTTAAATGGACCGGCCCAAGGTCTGACACTATTGGCTCGGGCCTGGCCAGCTTAAGTGTTCAGGCCAAGTTAGGCCCATGTTTCAAGCCCGAAACCTTAGCCTGGCCCGAACAATTTTTTCTTAAAAATACCTTGTAAATTTCGAGCTAACCCTAAGCCCATTGAGTTCTAGGGACCAACCTGGTCCGGCGCGGTAAATAACCAGTCAAAATTCCCATTCGGACCGTCGAGACAAGGCTAGGCAGCCCGAACTTTCACCTATATACTTCTTATATAATTATAGATTATAGATAGATTATAAATTGAAAGTTTCTCTGATAGTCCCTGCAAAAATAAATTACCAGACTCCTTATTTTTTAGTCATCATATTTATATCAAAATTTGTCTTTTTTACATACTTTTTTAATCTAGTGTGATTTTGATCAAATCTAACGATCAAAATTTGTCTTTTTTACATACTTTTTTAATCTAGATTACTGATAGAATGGATTACAAAAAAAACTCATTTATAGATTGTAGATATCCAAATACAATTTTACTTTTTTATACCTAAAACACTTAAAAAAAATAATCAAATAGAATTTCAAAAACAATCTCAACATCATTCTCAAAAAATTCTCATTTTAATTTTTCGCACTAAAAACAAAAAAATTTGAAAACGCTGCCATTTAATTTCTCGTTAACGTTAAAATATGCCTCTTATCCCACTTAAGAACAGCTCCCCATTATACATATACTAAAAGAAAGGACGGGATTCACTGTTAATGCTACAATGCTATGAACAGTGTCTTTCCCGTTTTAGCCCTGCTTTTTCCTTCTGATGAAATTTTAATTACCGTTATGTCCTTTTTAATGTTCAGTTACTATATTGCCCTTTATTTTAATTTCATTTGTTTTGTTTTATTATGACTATTTTGGTCATTTACACTTAGATTGAGTATTTTACTTTTTTTCTTTTCGTTTGTTGCCTTCTACTACCTTCTACACCTGTATTTTTTTATGCTGCCTTCTGCAACCTTCTACATCTTTCTTTTTTTTTTCATTTTTGGACCAGATTTTCTTGCTTCCCATCTTCTTTCTTTTTGCTTACTTCTTGCTTCGGCTGCTTCTTATCTTCTGATCTTCCTCATTGTTGCTATTTCTTATTTGATCTTTCTTTGGTTGATGTTTACGATGTAGATATTTTTAATTGTCTTTTACTCACCTTTTTTTCTCTTTCGATTAAGAAATTTGGGTGAGATTTTTACTGTTCTCGCGCATGTTTCCGTTGTTTCCATTGAGGATTTTGGTTGGGTCTTCTATTTTGGTCTTTTGCTTCATCCTCTTCTTAATCTTTTTTTTGTGTTCTCCGTTCGATTACTGTTGCGGGTTTGGTGTAATGCTTTTTTTTGTTAAATAAATTAGTCTCCTTCAGCTATGTTCTTAAAAATTTATTTAGTCATTAATAATTTAGAAATTTCATTATAATTTTTTTATTTGTTTTTTGAAATATGTACCTATTTGTTAATGATTGTTTGTTTTGTTTGTGGTTGATTTTTACAGGCGGAGTGCAGATTCTGCTCTCAATGTTCTTCTTTATTGGTGTCGCTTGGCTGGAGAAATTTGGGAATTTTATGCACTTTTACCCGATTTGTTTCATGGGTCTGCTTTCGTCTGAAAGTTGGGGCTTTTATTTTCTCTTCTTTCTGAGTTCCTATTTCTTTTGCTCCTTTAATTTCTGACTACTTATATTTCATTTTGCTTATCTTCTTCTTGCAGGTTTCTCTGATTTCTCTTGATATCTCCAGATTTGTATCTTTTTATCTCCTGCTTTTTTGCTTTTTTTAGTTTACAAAAGGAGCCGTGGCCTCATATTGTTTCCCCTTGATTCATCTTTCTTAGAATGTTGTATCTGCTACTTTTTTTGCTCATTTTTGTCTCATTTGGGTTGAGCATTTGAGGCATTTTGTGGACTTTTTCTTCCTTCTATTTTTTTCTCTCTCATCTTGGTGGACATTGGTTATGATTTGTAACTTATCTTTGATTTTCTTTCTGTTCTTGGTTTAAATCTGTTTAATCTTCCTTTTTCACTTATGATTTTGTTGCGTCGCATGTTTTTCCCTTAATTCTGTTCATTTTTTTTTATTTATTTTCTGCCCCTCCTTTTTGTTTCCTTTATTTTTCTGCCTCTTTAAGATAATAATCTTCATTTTAATATGTTTATAATTTTCCTCATGCCTGATGCATTTTGGTTTTTTTTACCTCCCGCAGAATGTTTCTCTACATGCCTGGAGCTTTTCTTCTCTAATTTTATGCTGCAAATGGGTAATTTTTTTTTTTTTTGTTTCATTTATTGATATGCTTAGTTGTCCTCCCTATGTTGCTGATTTGTCTTCCTATCTTCACCATTTGCTCTCATTTCACTGCAATAATATTAAATGATTTGCTAATTATCTGAAATTTGTGGCCATTTTGCTCCGTTCCTTTTTCTACCCTTTTTTTCTCTATTAGTTTTCTTCCTATTTCTACACTCCTTTTCTTTTAAAATAATTATTGTGGCATTGGGTATGTGATTTAGTCCACAAATTTTGATTTTTTACGCTCTGTAAACCAACCTTGCCATGTTAAGTGTTGTGTAATTACATGGCAGTTACTATTCACATCTGCTTTTTCCTTTCTTATTTATGAAGACTATTGTCTTGCATCAATTTATTCTTCACTATGTTTCCCTTGTACCTTTCTCTTGCTCTCACATGTTTATCCCTGATCATTTATTGCTTTCTTTTACCCATGACCATTTATTGCTCTGCTCTTTTACTCTTCTATTTCTGACTGCCTATCTTTACGTTTGTTTAATCTTTCATCATTTACTCTTCGATTTCATCCTCCATCATTTAGTGCCATGTTTTCCTATTTGCTTATTCCTCACCGCCTCTGACTTTGCCTGGTTTGTTCATACCTCACTATTAAAGCAGTCTTTGGACCGATTCAGGTACGATTAATACCCCTTTGCTATTAATTTTTGAATGTCATTTGCTAATATTGAATAAATTCTTTCGCTGTAGTATTGTGTATATCCATTATTTTTCCCCTTTTTTATTTCTATTGTACTTCTTCGTGCATACTTTTATTCTTTATTTACTACTTCTTATTCACGTGTAATGTTGGTGAGACACTTTTTTTATTGCTAATGACTGCCGTTAATTTCCCTCCGTCCTTTTTTTTTTTTGGCCTTGTTCTTTTTCTTCCCCTTATTTTGTACTGCCTAAACAGACTTATGTATTTCCTTTCACTTTATCTGTTTCTTAACACCATGGATCCTTTACCTTTAAATACCATATTTACACATATGTCTTTATCCCATGCACCTTACCATCAGGTCCTTTTTTTTTCTCCTTTCTTATCCATTTTCCCCTCTAAATGGCAATGATGACTATAATTGATTTGCACATGTCAGGCTTCATAGTGTTTGTCGAGACATTGCTGCGAATCCATTTTCTTTATGTTGATTTTGTTTTTCTCTTTCCTTACTGATTCATAATTTGTTACTCTTTTGTTTTTAGCTCTAATTCTTCCCGACTGTTACGTTTTACTCTTTAATTGGTGTACTCTTTGAATTAATTTCCTCTCTTTCTCTTATGATATTTTCTTTATAACATTAATTTATATTGAATCCCTCACATTTCTCTATTGACTACTTAAATCATTAATTCTTTATCTATATCATTTATTGCTCTTCATTTTTATTTCATTCTTTTTCTCTTTCGTTATAAATGGTTTACTTGGAATTATTTCCTGTTTGTGCATCCTCATTCTATTATACAAAATGAAGTATGATAATATTGTTGTTCCGAAATTTTTAGCCCTTTTTGTTCCATATTTTTCTCCACCATGTTCTTTTGTTTCCCTGATTCTATTGTCTTTATGTTGTTTAACCTTTTATTTCTTATTCCCTTATCCCTATTCTGCCCTCAGATTTTCACCCATTCTATACAAATGCAACTATACTTTTTTACTTATTTCCTGATTTATTCAACTTTTTTTCATTTGCATGGTAGTCTGTGGACAACATTGTATTTTAGCCTGCTTCGCCATTCCCCCTAACATGCAAATCCTAATCAATGGTGGGTATGACATCTTATTAAGCTTGAATTTTGTGCAGTTGCCCATAGAAAGCAGCCATAAAATTACTATTGATATATAAGTTTGTCTGCCCATCATACTTTGTTGAAAACATCCAATGTCTGAGCCATGATTGTTAAATAAAACTATTATCGTATCCCTGTCATATGACCTTCTTTTGGGTCCGTTTACTTATTTCGTCATTTGTCTATTTACTTGCTCATGTATCTACATACACATATGACTTAATGGCCTTCATTATTATATTCAACTTTTATTATTGTTCTTCGGCCATTTCTTTTGCCATTCTATTTATTTATTTGTTTACCTACTGATATGCCTTTACGTCCTCACATTCTTTATTATCTAATCTTTTATGTGCTTTATTTGTTTATCTACTAATATACCTTTATTTCCTCACATTCTTTATTATCTAATCCTTTGTGTTTATTGTTGTTCCCTTTCCCTTTATTTATACTTGCTTCATTCATATTCAGTCTTTCATCCCTAAAACACATGTAAACATCTATCTTTTATATCTTTTTAGGATACAAATAAAAGACTAAGATAATAGAGTCCCATATTCTTTCATCTCCGTAGCTATGATCATCTATGTAGGATATGTACAAAACACTATAAATAAATATGAAAACAATCACATGTGATCATCAAATAACATAAAACATAATATGCATAGTAATGTCATCACATTTCTCTTCTTCAAACTTTATTGTACTTATCATTACTATGTAAAATAACCAAACAAAAATGTTCTAACATTCATGTTTTATTCTTGCTCTTTTCTTAATCTGCCATCTATCCTTTTTACTTTTTTTTTTGTCTTTTCTTTTCCCTTCCCGCCACCCCCTTTTTAACTTTGTTTATTTATTATTTCATTTTTCAATTATCTATTTACAATTTTAAGGCTAATCATCATCTTCTGCCTCATATTCATATTGTTGTATCCTTTACTGCTATCTACACCTGCTTCCTTGATATTGCACGATAGGAAATATATTTACAGCCTTTGAGGTATCATTAACAGCTTACATCCATAAAATTTTAATTATTAGGCCTGATACTGAATGTGGCAAATTGCTATTCTCATTGACATAGAATCCCTAAAATCTGTTTCTTATTCTTAGACAATATATAAGAAATTACATATATAAATTACCATGTATTTTCCTTTGTAAATCGTTGATTCCAACATATTGATCTTTTGTTCCATTCTCTGCTCACTCACATGCACGTACATGTAATTTGCCTCACTGTATTTTAGTTTCAAAAACGTTTATTTTGTTAATACACACACACACACACACACACACACACTATTGTGGCAATGATGACAAGTAATTTTCACATGTTCAGTCCTCCACAATTTGCCCAAAAATCGCCCTCACTATCTTTGTCTTCTGTTGCTTCTCACTGTATTTACTTTATTCCATTAAAATTTTTGAATCATGTATATATGGAAAGACAATTAATACTTGATACCCATAACGATGCAATTTATAATTAAGTATTTATTATTGATGCACATTTAACAAATGACAAATAATGTGAGAAAATAATAGCCTTCCATCTTTTTTCCTCCTTCCCATCACAATTAAGCAACCAACTTCTTCACTTTCTTATCCATTTCTCTATGCTCACACTATTCTATTTCTCTCTTTTTCTTCCTTATTTGTTATTTTTCCATTTCTCATGGCTACTTTTTTACTATACAGGTTCTTTCTTTTTCCTTTTGCCCTCCCGCCCTTTTCTTCCTCCATTTATACCTAATATTCACCATGATGCAATTTATAATTCATTATTTATTATTTATGCACATTTACCAAATGACAAATAATGTGGCAAAACAGTAGCTTTGCATCTATTTTCCTTCTTATCTTGACATTTAACTTCACTTCTTTATACACTAAAAAAATCAACCAAACGGTAAGCTAAGTACACTAATTTGTATTATTCATGAACAAAAACAATATTTCTAATTCTAAATACATATCTAAGCACACTCCGTCACAATTCTCGATCAAAAGAAGCAGAATCTACAAAACGGCCAAAAATAAGGTGATATTACTATCTCTAAATCAAAATATTTCCAATCCCATGAACTATTAATACTAACCCTTCAAAAATATACATTTTGCAGGTTAAAAAAAAAAAAAAAAAACAACAACAACAACAAGGAAAGGACTGAAAAAAAGACTCCCAGTTATAATGTAAATAAATACTTATTAGAACATTATATAAACCTGCTCATATATAAATATGTATATATAAACTACTTTTATATTATAAAAATTATCAAGACTCCATATAACATAATACTTTTTTTTCTCCTCTCCCTCATTGCAAAAAATGCTCTCATCTTTAAGTTCTATCACATTTACAACAACTATAGATAATACAAAATTATTACCGCGGCAACGCGCGGGTATAACACTAGTTAAGAACTATAAGAAGAAGCGGGTGACATCCGCTAAGCGTGGCGGTCGGAGAATCGAAACGTCGTCGTCTCCTTATCCTCTAAAGTTTCCTCGGAGGTTCAGACGGCGTCGTCTTTTCTCCAAATCACCGTTTACTGCTCAAGACATCTTATAATCCAAGTTCACCCAATCTCAGGTCGCTTTCCCTTTTTATTTTTCTCTAATTTCGTGTGTGTGTGTGTGTATATACACACACACACACACACACGCACGTATACGTGTTTGTATGTATAATTTGTTTGTTTCCGATGGTTGGTGAGACTATCCTGCGTAAGAAAGTTTGGCTTCCGTCGTTCAATTCTACTTTTTTTTTTAACTGGGTTTGTGAATTTTCTGTGTTCAGTTTTCTATTTCAAATGAGTTTTGTGATAATTCCTGTGAAATAGGAAATATGTTTTCTGAAACCTTGATTTTAAGAACAAATTAACGCTATTGAGTTCTTTATGGGCATAGTGTTTAGTTTATTTTATTTTATTTCACTTCTGTTATTATGACCCATTTTCTGTAGAGGACTTGTTGTATTAAGTCAAAAATGATATCATATTCATCTCCTTGTCATCAGGAGAGATTATGGAAGATGATGCAATATTGAGGGGAGACAAGCTTATATTGAGAGGATTGATGTTCCATGGTTTTCATGGGGTGAAATCTGAAGAAAAGAAGCTGGGTCAGAAGTTTTTGATAGATGTTGATGCTTGGATGGATCTCCGCCCGGCCGGTTTATCTGATCGGTTGTCTGATTCTGTTAGTTACACCGACATTTATCGGTGAGTACCGATCTTCAATGCCTCTTTTACCATCTCAATTTTTGTCATCCAGATAAATTACTTTCCACTTTGATTCTTGTTCAATGTGAATGTTTCCTTAGTTTAGTTTTCCTTGATATCTTTGCTCAGTAATCGGTTGTGGATTTGCTTTCCATGACTGACTTTGTGCCGTAAAGAAAAAGTAGTCTGTTATTGCTCGATGGCTTATTTGAAAAATCCAAATTAACTTTTTTGTGTTTTTCGCAGAAGCGCTTCCAGGAGAAGCCATGTGGGTTTAGTTTCCCCTGAAAGAGCTTCTAAGAGCTAAAAGTTCTTTTAGGATTTTATCCGAACACGTGTGAAAGTTATTTTGGTTTTAGGGAGCCAAAACTGAGTTCTAAACTTGTGCCAAGCAGATCCTATGTTCTCATGTATGAGATTTTCTGTTCTGTTTCTGATGCAAGATCTGTTGCGAATTTGAACTGTAAAACTGCAGCATAGCGAAGGAAGTAGTTGAAGGACAACCCCATAATCTTCTTGAGTCGGTTACTCAGCTCATTGCATCTACAACCTTAACAAAACATCCCCAGATTACGGCTGTTCGTGTGAAGGTCGGGAAGCCTCATGTTGCTGTTCAGGGTCCTGTTGACTATTTGGGTGTCGAGATTCTTAGATTCAGAAGTACTGATGTACCAGAGTAGGAGAATTATTTTGGTTTGCTTAACTTTGTCAGCATGTGTCCTACAACTGATTGGTATTAAGGATTGAGGGAATGGGTGTGCAAGTATGGAAGAATTTCACAGAATCATGTCATAGCTCTAACATGCTCTCTTTGAATATTTTATGGTTTTTTATGCCTATTCTAGCTTTTAAAATTTTTGTTTATTGACTACAAAATATACTTCTCTGTATTTGTCATGTTTCACATTTACTTGATCGTCTCAAATGAAATGCGGAGGACTCCAGAAGCTCATTCATGCCACTGTACCGCTCGATTCACCATTGTTGGCGTTGCCTATTGAAGTGGTCTCAATAAGCGTACGAGGGACAAGCCGCTTTTCCCAGGTAAGCTTGCGGAAATTGGGGACTTCTAGACTCGCTATCTTGGCCTCTCCCTACGTAGTAGTTTCCCTTTCTATCACTGTTAGTCGGCACTCCGGCCTCACTTTTCTTCCATGTCTTCCTTTAGCATGATTTGATACTCTCTTTTTGAATAAATCCCTTTCCAACAAAAGCCTCAGCTGCATAGAAAAGAAGAAGAGGTGAGTGGAAGCAGGGTTAAGACACAATAGAGGAGTAAATCTTTGCTTCTGTCATACACAAGAAGGAGACAATCCGGATCCAACCCATAATTATGGATCTGAATTGTTAATCAGGAGTAAAATTCAGACTCACGCACTCTAAAAGTAAGGGCTCGTTCACTTCGCTGATTCGAATTTGTAATTCGAGTTGAGATGTGATTTTATGTGAGAGCTTTTTATTGTAACAAAAAAGTTAGATGTGACTGTTTTTAAGAATTTTTTACTGTAGCAAAACTCAAATTCTAAACTCGAATCGGTGAAGTGAACGGGACTTAAGTTTAACAATTTTTTTTAGTAAAAGAAAAAAAAGACCGTCGATTTCATAAATCTTCTTCTCCAGCAATGATTTGAACATGCCTTCAAACATGATGAAGGTTAAATACATGGGCATGAAGCAGAACGTTGGCCAAGAGTTGTCCAACTACAAATGGGTAAATCATAAAATACAGATCGTAACTACCTATCCACGAGAAAAGTTGTCTAAAAATGATGGTAAATGTTCAAACTTTTATCCCATGTTAACGATTCATAACTATCAAATTATCAATCACGTTTGTGACTGAACAAGGTGTGAAGACTGATTGAATCACCTGATAGGCAGTGTTATGCTGCTCGCTTTACCGTCACTTGCAACTGCAACAGTGCATCTTCAACACGCATTCCTCGAACTAATGCAGCGACCAATTTCACGTCAAACAAAAAGGGATAAAATTATTTTGGTACTTTTGTTATAGCGAAACATGCTTTTAGTATTATATGTTTTTTATAATAATAAAATGGTACCTTACCGTTCTTAAAAACATCTTCTTAACTTTTGAGACATAGGGTGCGTTTACTAAAACGTAAAGGAATGTAGTGGGATTAAAAAGGAAAGTAAAGTAATAGGATTATGGATCATTTATTTTCTTTATGTGTTTACTTGACTATTAGATGATAGAATGAGAAATAACATCATTCACTTTCTTATGTTTACTAAAATTGGGAATAATAATTTTATGAATGTAATCACTAAAATATCCTTTATACAATTAAATAATCATTGATTGTATAGTAATTCATTAAAGGTAGTAAGTAAATTTAGCATTTATTCTCTTTGACAAGGAATCAATATTAGGAGTGTAAGGATTGGTATTCCCTTTCCTCATTCTCTATATTGTGTGGGGATTAAATCTCCATTACTAATTTTGTAAGTAAACACATTATTAGATGAGAAAGAGAATCATTCCTCATTTTTCAAAAGGAAATCATTTGTCATTTTTCCTTTCTCTTTGATGCAAATTAAACATGCTCATAATGTACAAACTACCCTTCTTATTAATTAAATAGAAATCAATATTCTTTAAAAAAATCTAAAAATATTTTAAAACATTAAAATATTTTAAAAAATAACAAAATAAAAAAGTTCATGACTTTTTTTAGATTATTAATTTTTAGTTAATTAAATAGAATGATACTAAAATCATTTTACGTCTCAAAAATTAGTTTTAGTGTACCAAGAAAATGCTTTTAAAACATCAAGATACCGATATAATATTAACAAAAACACGGAGTACAAAAAACATGTTTCGCAATAACACGAATTACCAAAATGATTTTATCCCTTAACAAAATCACATGATAAGAAAATGAACATTACAGAATGCACTTGAAGAGCAGGTAGATAGGCGGCACATGTACTTAGTCATTCTTATTAGAGTGAATTTTTGCACCCCGTTTGTTTTACTAATTTATAAGAATGTAAAGTAAAGTTGCATTTTATTTTAATCCATGAGAACTCAAAATTCCTTAAAAGAAAATATAAAATTTTAGAATTTTAAAAAGTTATTAATGAGACACAGTTTTAAACCCTTAAATTCAGTCTTATTAAATAAACTTGATAAAAGCTTACAGACTAGTCGATAGTGATTCTCCTAAACAAAAATTAGATTTTATCTGGTTCCTTTTTAATGTTAAAATTATAGTTTGCTGGTATCAAGTAAAAATTATACATTCGAAGTTTATATTAAATTCAGGGGAGAATTTTGTAACTTTTTTGAAGTTTCTTCACTTCCCTGTTTGGTTGCTGCAGTTTACTCGAGAAAGGCCTAAGTTCACGTTCGACGTCTCAAAACTCAAAACGAAACTCGAAAATAAATTCGAGTTACCTACCTTATTTTGAGTTCATCTTCCCACTACAACTTGAGTTCTAGAGTGAAGATTTCTGGCTATTGACCATTGCGTGCTTCATCCATCTCTAACGCTCTAACATGCCAGAACTGCTACTTCACGTGCTTCTACAGTAAGATTCCTGTAAGTTCTGCTGCCTTTTGACCATAAATCACTCCTTCAAGCTTCAATTTCACTCCTTAAAAGCTTCAATTCCGCCCCATACCCATAACTCAAATGCTCCCTTTGAGTTCTGCTACCTTTCCCTCAATCTGAGATAGAAACCCTAGCCCCAAAATTCACCCCTCATCTTCTACCGCTGGTCTCCATTCAAGACGAAGAAATTCGGGGGTAGAAATCGATCTCTTCGGCAACCTCCTTGGGCAACAATCCTAGCTTGATGTAGAAGGAAAGAGTCTCGACGTAGTGCTTTCCTGTGCCGACGTAGTGCTTTCCTGTGGCGACGTGAAATCTACTTCCCCCTCCATTGTCGTCGCCGGTACCTCACTCAGGGACAGCAGTCTTCGCTTTTTGGGAATCTCAGAGCAGATCAAACCCACTCCTCTGTAGGCTCCAACTCGGTAAGCACTCGAATCCTAGGTTTAATTCCTTCCAAGTTGCATGCTCATCTCCTCCACCAGCAACACTTTCCCCATGGTAACCACACAAAAAAAAAAACTCTTTCTTTTTTCTTTTTTAACTTTCTCTCTGGTTTGTTTGGTTGCAGAGAAAAGTGGGGAAAGAGAAATCGATGAGAGAGAAAATGGATATTTTTGTTTCTTTTAAGGTTTTCCGAAGATGGATTGCTGCTCTTTCTCAATTTTCTTCTTGTAACCTAAGTTTCTGTTCGGGTAACGAAGCTCCAATGACCTAGAACGGAGTTCATTTGGCTCCTATCATTTCCATTTTCGCAGAACTTTCTGTCTATAAATTGGTCAACGTGTTTCCCTAGACCATTCTTGAAGGGAAAAAAAAAAAAGAGATTGCTTTGTTTGTCCTGACTTAGTTCGTGTTCTGTTATTGTTCGAGTTTACTTCCATAAGCAGAGTTGTGAAATTGCAGAGCTGTGAAAGAGATTGCTTTTCGGTTATACAAGTCCAATTAATTAGCTGATTTCTAGGATTAGTCTTTATGATTTAAAGGAGGAGGATTCTTGTTCAAGAAGTTTGAGGAGTTGCTGAAAATGTAGATATGTTCGAATGCATATCTTTTTTTTTTTTTGGTTTTTTTTACTATATTTTTGTTTTCTGCGTGAAGTATTTAATGTGGTAGGCTGTCACTTTTGTTCTTCACAAGTTGAGCTATCAAAATGAACATTGTTGAAAATTCTTGCATGCCTTTCTACAATTGAATGAATTCCAGTGTGGGCACTCATGCATATTTGTGAAGTTTATAGATTTGAAGTAATTCCCATATTTATACACATGCAAGGTTTAACATGAACATTAATGGTTTTTAAGTTTTATCTGCCTTAAATATAATCTAACTTCAAGATGAAGCCAGCATTAGATTCTTCCAACAACAAAAAAAGTTTTATACCATTTTTTTGTCCTACTGTAACGTCCATATGGAATGGATAAGACAAATTGTGCGAAAATGCCTTGGTCTCAGTGAGTTAAGGGGCGAAGCTATATATTCCTCCTAATCAAAAGCTGCTTCAGTTTGGCAATATGTCTTGTGTTATGTTTGGCAAGTACTATTTGTATGTATGTTGTGTTTCTGGAAAGTATAAGATTCTTATAACTCTACGGCCGCATCAGTTTTTCTGTATCATTGTCTTAATTCCTATTGCAATGGTGTCATCTTTGCAATTTCAGAAAACTGAGCAAGAGAAGCTCGAGAAGCTAGCACGCAAGGTATGCTCACAGTGTACATTTTACCTTTTTTTGTTTTTTTTTCTTTTTTCAGTTTCTGGTCACTTATATTCACCTGAAAAATTAAAGATGATCATGACTTTGAACTATGACTGAAAGCTCTCGTGGTGACAAAGTTTGAAGTGTTTTTCCAAATCTAGGCATATGATTTATTTGTTGCGGAATGAACTACTGAAAATTCACTTTATTCATATGCTTTGCGTATCTGCCAAGATCAGTTGAGTAAGAACTCATTTGATGGCACACTTTAATCTACCCTGTCAAGACATGGATAAACCATACTTGAGCTTGTTTTAGATGCATATTAACATTTGGTCCAATTTTGGGTTATTTGAGGACCACGGATATTTAAAATGTTTGTAAACATTGTTGGCCTTATTGTACTTTATTTGCGGACCATGGACATTTAGAATGATTGTTTAATGAGTATTTATTCTTGATGACATCAAGTTGATGACTAATATTACTTAAACAGGTGATGATCAAATGCTCCATTTTTGCATATTTCTTAAACCCCAAAACTTTCATGTTATTAGTTGGAAACTTTGACAGGCATGGATCACCATAGGGACGGCGATCCAATGGACTCAAACGCATCAGACGACGATAGTGATGACGAATATTTCAAGCATGTTGTCGCGGTCGCAACATTGTTATGCATTGGATTTATATATAGAGAACCATCACGCCGAAGGCACACTTCTGGCTGGAGAGGTAGGCTTAGAGTGGACTACTATCTCAATGGGAGTCCAGAAGTGATTTACGATAAAGTTCGCATGAGTAGTGACGCTTTTAGACGCCTATCTTCTATCCTTGAGGAAAGGGGATTACTGCAACCGACAGTCAATCATGTTGACGAGCAATTATTCATATTCCTTACAATACTGTGTCAAAACTAAACTAATAGGGAGGCGCATGACCATTGGCAGCGCTCGGGATCCACAGCATCGGAGTATTTCACGAAAGTAGTTGAAGCGGTTTGCCAGTTAAAAATAGACTTCATACGGCATCCAGATTTCTCTGCCGTGGATCCTCACATAATTGCAGGTGGAAATAAGTATTCGCCGTGGTTCGACGTAAGTTATACATAAATTTATTTCTCTACTTCATAAGTTTAGTCATATTTTATCACAAAATGAGTTTAACTAACACATAACATAACAACGGACGTAATTTTGTTAATTTGAAGGATTGTGTTGGAGCACTAGATGGTATGCACGTTCCATGTGTGCCTCCCCATGAAACGGCCGAACTTTACAGAAATAGAAAGGGGTTCTTTTCGCTTAATGTGCACGCAGTTTGCTCATTTGATATGAGATTTACGTACATGCTATCTGGCTGGGAGGGTTCAGCACACGATGCGAGAGTACTTGCGTCCGCATTAGATCACCCGCGGAAACGATTTCCGAAGCCGCCACCAAGTAACTGGAACAAACGTCTCATTCTACATCTACACAAACGTCTCGTTCTACATCTACCTAATTCATAAACTGCATCCAGATTATAACTGTTGATTGTGATTACTTAAATACATGTAGAAAAATTCTACCTCGTCGACTCAGGCTACGCAAACAACGGATGTTTCATGGCACCATATCGGGGAACAACATACCATTTGTAAGAGTATAGGAATCGTCGTGGTAGAGGCTTCCGCAGTGAACGTGAATTGTTCAACTACACACACTCCTCCCTGCGTAATGTAATCGAAAGAACATTTAGTGTGTGGAAGGCTAGATTTCGTATTTTGAAAAGCATTAACTGTTACCCCCATTGAAAAGCAAGTTAAGGTTCCGGTTGCATGTGCTATAGTCCATAATTTTATCCACATGTACCGTAATGGAGATAGACTATTGGATCAGTACTCATAAGATGGCGTTCCGGTTGCGGACATTGATCCACAGAATGTTGAAGAGGATATCAATGACAATAACAACCACGAAGGACAACTATTGAATTATAATGCAGAATTGGAGATGAATGTGTTAAGGGATGCAAGAGCACATACAATGTGGGCAGAGTACCGTAATCGTCGTACGCGCTAATAATAGTGTATGAAGAATTGTGATATTAATTATGTATATATTGTGACTATTTGCTCTCCATTTATAATGGAAACTCATCTTCTAGTTATTTTTTATATGGTATTTTAATTTATTAAATGAAGAAAATGCATACGTTGTTTTTAAATTTATTACTACTTATAAATGATTCACTTTTATTTATTCAAATTAAATTACATAAAATCAATTAAATGAAAGAAAAAAAATCAAGATACTATTCACAACTCTAGAATTAGTTTAAACAAACACAAAGTCAAATAAATTCTAATCTCAAATTATAACTTAAGTTTACACAACCAAATACAAACTTAAATTACAACTTCAACTCAAATTCAACTTAAAATCTACACTCAAGTCACATAACTCCAAAAGGACAAAAGAACTGTCCCTTAGTGTTAAAGTACAGTTTGTTGCTATCAAGTGAAAATTTTACATTTGAAATTTATATTAAATTTAGAGGAGAATTTTGTAACTTTCCCTGAAAACCTTCGAAAACGGGAAAATTACATATATATTTTGTCGAGTTGATTCTGGTCTTATTGAAGAGGAAAAACCTAAGATTACTTTCAAAAATGACTCATCAAACTTAAGGACTCAATCCCAATATTGCCCCTGATATCTGTCGGAGTTTTTTGCAAAAAGTTTATGAAGTGCAGCATATTTCGCATTAACACAGGGTACCAAAATAATTAAGTACCAAAATAATTTTAAATTTTCTTTACTCATAATGCTGGATAAAATATTTGGCAAATATGACTATGGATGATTAAGTGTTCATAAAACTTCGATCTTCCTTCCCATTATCTTTTTCTTGAATTAACGCTATCTTTTTCTTGAATTAACGGTTTGTGGGAGCTTTTAATTTTTTGGAATTCTTAAACCTTTTGAGTATTGAATCCAAAATCTTCTATCATCTTCCAATCCCTTTTGGCTATATGCCTAGCAATAAAAGGGCAGTGAATAACAATTCTTACTAGAGGCAAAAAAAAAAAAAAAAAAAGATCTAACCTTGCATTGAACCATTATTTATACGAGCATCGTATTTCAAGAGACAACTATTAATTTACCAATCCATTTAAAAAACTTAACCTGTTAACATATGGGTCAACTATAGTTTTTATATTTTAACAATAGCTTTCAAACAAAAAACAAACGTGGGGAGAAAATAATCCGTGACAAACTGTAATTGGTTTGCTTATTAGTTATCCATTCAATATCACATTTATTGCTCATATTTTAACCTTGCACACTGATCCAATTGATGAAAATACAGAGAGATTTCAAAGAACTCATTTGTAAGAATTTTAATATAATCATATTCCTTTGACACGCCATTTGCATGCCCAAATTCATGAAATGCTCTTTGACTCTTTGAAATGCCAAAGCAATGCCTTTCTGAAGGGTCAAATTCCTGCTATCAAAATGGAGTTATGGATAAATCATTTTAAACACTCAACAACATCATATCACCCTTCAAGAAGACATAAATAATCACTACTAATCTAGCATTATTTTGCTTGACAAGAGTGCCTCTTTTTATTAATAATAATAATGCAAGACTTTAAAGGAAACATTTCGATACATGGCAACATACAGTTTCTACAAATAAACAGCCTGCTCTCTCAACTCAACAATATGTATCATTTGTACATAACCTTTGATAGGAGAAGAGGCTGTCACAGTATCCAATTGCCAACCTTTTAGTAAATTTTCGGATTCAATCATCTAATGGGGCCAATTGAACATCTTGGAGTGCTCTAAGTTTTGCTTTTCCACCATACTCTTCTGGCAAGGTTTCTTCACCAACTTCTTTTATGAATTTTGTTCTTTCATCCTCATTGGTCACTATTACAATCTGTATTTCGAAAATCCGAATGTATAGCACGATTAGTTCAAGTCCACCAACTTCTTTTATGAAATGTCTTCTTTGTTGACAACTTTATTGAGTTGAGACAAATGAAATTGGAAAGAAAACTAAAAGAGGAAAGAGCTAAGTGGGATGCCATGTTCAAGTGGCATACACACGATCGAAGACATGCCCTAAGAAAATGAACAATTCTTATTTCGAATATCTAATCGAAACACGTGTGTAAATACATGACTGTATGATAATTATACAGAAACTTGTCCTTGATATCTTGTCATGTACAAGAACAATGAAGAAACCCAGAGAGAGATTAAGACCAACAATCTAATAGAATTATCAATTATGGACACTAAAGTGGCCCGAGCGCGGAAAATATGTCCATCAAGATATAAAATTATGCATCTTTTAGCAAAATCTATGCGAAACATGCATCATCAAAAGGTTCGTTGATTGGGATCCACTTGTCCACATTTAAATCATACCTTTTCTAGAGTTGCCTTATCAAGGAAGCGAGAAATCATCTTCCAAATACTTTCAAAGAACCATGGCATATGCAAAAGGAAGCACTTTGCCAAACGTTCAGGGTAGTAAGCCTGCAGGTTCAACCAAGACGCGCATTAATCTAACATTACCGAGATTGTACTCCATGTAATTTAATATCACAGAAAGACTATTAAGATCAAGCGCAATGTTCAGTTACATTATTCGACAGTGAGAAAGCAAACTAGCTCCATGACCTCTATATTGGCACTGCACGCGCCCGAAGATTCAAGGGGTGGGGGGGAAGGGTCTGCAACTGTTTTTGCAGCTTTAATTGTTTTACTATGTTTTATACGTATAGCTCAGGGTGTGGCGCAGAAAATATAATGATCAAAATTCAACTTCATGAGTATTAAGGTTCTAAGAGGGAAAAGCAATGTGAAAAGTAATGAGGGTCATCATGGAAACTAACTTTAAAAAGTTCAAGTAATTTGCCATACTCTCCAACCAAATGAACAAGCTAACCAAACCCCCATGGAACACGCCGCCATCGTATTGTTTATCATAAGCATATGCATAAGTAAGCAAATACTGTTCTTTTTTTTTTTTTTAACTCATTTGAAAGAAAAATCACAAATGTTTCCCAGAGTTCACTTCTAGACCATCTTTGGTCACGACTTCTTACTCGATGGACACATGATTTCGGCCGGAAAAGGAAAATACAAGAGACTCACCTGCAGAAACTGAAAACCAGTTATCAACCCCCGGACATCAACGTTCTTATACGAGATATGTTGCAGATCAAGAATGCCAATCAACTTTTCATTTCCTATCTCCCTTTCTTTAGGAGAGCTGAAATAAGCATAACGAACAACCAAATCAAACAATATTCAGATTCCTTCAGCAAAAGATTAAACAAAAAAATCACTATAATTGTGAATGACTATGAACAACGATTTCAACAAAGTAAAGGCCCAAAAAAAAAAAATATATATATATATATATATAAGGATACAAAGAACACATAATTCAAAGGTACCCCTTTCCTTCACTGAGGCATTGACATATTAGTGCAATTGAGGGGTACCTTGCAATTGTTTTGTCAAGAAGATGGGCCACAAATTCTGCATGGTGAAACAGGAGAAAGCGAAAGAGATTATTCAACAGTTAGTTACTGTGAGAGAAATGAGGGAAATAAATTTTGATTTGATTTGCTTTTATTGTTTCTTTTCTGTTATTATATATTATTCTTGTACTAGCTTCCATGCAGTTATTACACGCCAAAATCAACAGATGAGTGTGGTTTTTAGTAATTATCACAACTTCCATCATGGTATGCATTTCATGTAATATCATATCAACCACACAAAAAATAAACGAAACAAGTAGATGCTTAATTTATTAAAAAAAATCTAAAAAGAGAAAAATACATTGGTTTAATTTAATTTTTTATATAAAAAAAGAGACTTTCTCCAGTAGGCCTCCTTACCGATAGTAACAGGTTTTGAGGTTACATCATGTCAAAATTAAATCAGATTAAAAAAATATGCAGAACAGACAGTTTCTAATACAAATCTGACTATTGAAAAATAGAAAACCACTGACAGTTCAATTTTTTTAATCCTCCCAGAGAAACTTCTAACAAAATTGTATAGAGAAAACATTTTGTGCCATGTTTATTAGCCGACCACATCATTCATTGGCTTATCCTTTGGCCATCCACCAATACCAACGTTTAATCCAATTGTTTATGTCAAACAAAGAATGGGGCAAACCATTTCTTTTCCCCGTTTTCTGTTATTTATTTCCTATTGCTGGATCCTTGTTCCTAATCCTTCCAAATAATAAAAATTATTATACTAAAATCATAGTTGGTGAAAGGGGTTCTGACTTGTATGCCTTCCTCGTGGAAGGTACCAAAGCCCACAAAAACCAAACACCACAAGGCAAAAACTTATCTCATAATTGGAGGCCACTATAAAAGTAAGACATTAAGAAACACTAAAAAATAATTAAAAAATTGGGGTCCCATAAAATTAGTCAGACCAAACAATGAAGTCCAACATATCAATTTATTAAACTTTTGTATGTAGGAACTACTCTCTTTAGTCTCACTCAGGGTCCAGAGATGGCCCCATAAATGGGACAAACTTTGTATCAAAAGGCATAAATGCATAAACAAGAATAGCATCAACTAGGAATACAGCTAAATAAATTGAATAATATTAATACTCTGCTCAATCGGTTAATTTTATCAATGCTCCTCAAATGGTTACCCGTCTCCCATTTTGATCCCTAAACGTCAAATTGTGTCACTTAAGCCCTTAAATTAATTTTTTTGCGTCAAATTAGTCCTTGCATTAACTCCTATAAAACGATAACAAAATTTGTCGTATAGCTGGTCTATACACACCTTCCCAACTCAGATTACATATAAAAAGGTTAATGAAAATTACTTTAATTTTACCTGATTGATATCAACCTAATTTTCTATATATATATATATATATATATATATATTAAAGAGAATATGCCATTGTTCGCCGTGAGTGGAGCATGTTTTAAAATAATCCCTAATATTTCTCAAAAATTTTAGTTGTACTCTTATATATGTGACCGTGTATTCGTGTGCCTATCAAAATTAAAATCCAAAATTATATTTCTATTCAATAAAAAACTCTCTACTTTTTCATAGTATCTTCACTCTAAAAAAAAAAAAGTACCACTGGTTGTTAGCACACGATTAACTTCAAAACAAATACACAATCTGAAAAGAGAATTTATATGTCAATCACATAACAAAATCCATGAAAGAAGAAACTTCACAAAAACATGAACTTCAGGACTCAAAAAAATAAAAATAAAAATAAAAATACCTGCCACATCTTAAAATTTAGACGCAATGACATTGATGAAATCAACCCAAACATACACACCACGAAAAATTTAATTACGAATATCATCAACGTACGAAAACTACATGAAACTTGTAAAACCGAAATTACTATATTATCTCCTCTTTTTACCCTAAGAAGTTATATTTTACTATCATTTTCCGTGGACCCTGATCTACAAAGAAAAATCAAAACAGTAAATTTCCATAGGGAGAAAAAAAAACCTGGGCCCTTACTTTTGAATTGAAGATGGTCTTTAGAAGGATAATGCTTGCTTCCTTTAACAATCATAAGGGGATGTCCTTTGGTGGACAAACCTTGCAAATAAATCTTTCTTGCTTCCAATTCGTCCGGCACTTCAGAGTCAGCAATGAAACCATTTGGAACCAAAGACGCCCTCCACTTCTGCCACTGAACGAACATCTTCGCCGCCTTCTCCGGCTCCATCGACCTCGCCACCAGGAATCTCATCAGCGTTGCCTCACTATAATTCTGCCCCACAAAAAAAAAAACACATTTTAATGAGGGTTTTCATATTTGGGCTTATATAAAACGATCGTGTATAAGTACCTCTGTTGAAGAACCAAGCTTTTGAACTGATTTCCTCATCTGGGTCAGTGGTGAATTTTCTTGGTTTGTCTCCATGAATGGCTTTTGGGATTTTTTTTTTATTTTTTAGAGTCTAGAAAGAGAGGAGTTTACGTTGACAAAAAACTGCGTAAAAAAATGAAAGAGAAAGGCAAAGACCAAGGGCCGCGAACTTATTGGAGTGGCATAAATAATAATAAGCTGTCAAGAAAGAAAATTAACAAAATTGGAAAATAATGGTAAAAAAGCCTAAAAAGAAAAGGAGGAAAGAAAATTGCGTAGGACATTTGACAGTATTGTAGTATTTAGTTGCTTCAAAGTTTGCTGCTTCATTCATCTTCACGGAATCAGGGCTGCTAGGAAAGCTACACTTTTTTCTGGGTGTCTTTATGCTCCTCAAACCCATGGAAATTAGGCTGGATGGCCTGATGACCGCTCATTCTAAAATGTGGCATTTGCTGTGGTCCCACACCATTTTTTTAGAAAAAAATATCGTTGAAACGTAACCGGTTAAGTGAAAAGCGTAATTATCTTATATTAAGTCGTAACACTTATTATTTTAAAAATTAGAAATTATTTATAAACAAATGATAATAAATGATTGTCATGCACTGCTCTAAATAAATATTTTTACATGATTAAATGTGTCTATCAAAAAAGAACATGACAGATGTAATTCTTCACAATAATATTATTCAGGTTTAAAAAAGACATTCGGTTATGATAGAATGACTTATCTTAACAATAAAAGTGACAAATGTTCATATTTTATTCATATTAAAAACGACAGCCGTTTATTGATGTGTCTTTCAATATTATTCATGACAGGTGTGCATGAAAATCGTTTATTGCTATATGCTTAAAAACGACTTATGATTTCAAAAATCGTAACTATTATGACTCAATACAATAGAATTACAGAAGTTTTCCAACTGTTTATGATGGCACATGAAAGACTGTAGTGTTGGAACTTTGGGTCGGCAGGCCTACCCGAAGCCCGAATTTTTCAGGCTCGGCGGGCAGGCACCTAAGGCCACCCGTTCAAGCTATTTCTCAGGCTCGAGCTCTGGCCACCCGAAAAAAAATGGATATCGCCAAAGCCCGCTGCCGATCTGTAATGACTGAGAAAATCCTAGACATTAGATAATACAATTTATTTATTTAAGCCAAGAATTTTCCTAGAAAATATTATGTTATTTTGTGAATGGAGGATTTATGGAATTAATATATGTATTCTTAAATTCTATAGCAGATTTCATGTTAAGTTCATGTTTCGATCAAGTAAATTCGATCGATAAATTCTCGCCGTATTTTAAGGCGAAATAATTTTCAGTACAAGTATAGCTTGAGAATCTTAATTTCAAGAATCTCCAAGCACAGCACGATGTTAGCAGCGTATAAAAAAAACACGCACTGACATTTTAAAAGAAGAAAAAAATCCTTAACTGCCAGACAGTTAGGTTAAAGTCACAAGATAAATACCCATAGTAGAATGGTACAATGTGAGTTCGGGAGTTGACATCGTCATAAACAACGTCATTCCCGGAATATAATGTAGAATAGTTAAATTTAGACTTTGTTCAGTCTAAAATTAATTTCAAGACTTGAAACAGTTCGAAATATTAAGCGAGTAAGAATATAAAACAATATTGAATTATTCAGAAATTAATGTTGGACTGTAAGGAGTAGATTAACTTACGTGAGCTAAACTAATTACCTCTAATCAGTATAAATTTAATCTGTTTAGAGGAAATATTTGAGGATACGATCAAGCACGTAATCTTGCCTTAATCAGACACTTTATATAGTGAAATTATTATGGTACTCTCACTTTTTCTCTCTTATTCCCGCTCACTCTCTCTCTCTTCTCTCACGTTTTCTCACAAAATCATCAATGGCCAAATACTCAAGTTGAGATTCCGACCTCCGTTTTTGACACCGCCGGTGTCAATAGAAAGATCTCGACGAGGTAAGTTCAATGACATACGGCACGACCTCCAACTCCGCCGGAATCAGCCGCAATCGCCGGCGGAAGTTCCGAAAATACCCATTTCTTCCCGTCGTGATATCTCTGACATCCGACCTCCGATTGAGATGATTTCAGTCCCTATGGACTCAGTGAAGCGAGACGAAGAAAACCCACCCATTTTGACAGCTCGATTCTGGCCAGAACGCCGCCGTCCGTGGTGGCCGAAATCACCGCCGCCGTCGTTTCTCTCTCTCCAGGCCGTCGTGGAAGTCACCGCCCCCACCAATCGACTCAGAAGCCGACGCCCAGTAGATCCCGACTAGTAGCCACTGTCGCCGTCGCAGTTTGGGCAGAAAACGGAGCCACTACCGTCGTCCGTGGAGGGAAGAGGTGGTTCCGACAATCTAACCGTTGGATCGTAGTAACTTTGGTGTCACAACACTCAGAAGGAAGCGGGTAAGAAAGCCCCTCAACCAATTTTAAGAATTGATGACCGGAATACTGAAATTTGGGTCGCCAAATTTTACCGACGTTACCGGTCCCGATAGGTACTGTTACAGGCCGAATGGTGTGAAATTGACCACACCAATGGACTCAGAAGGGTCAAGTTAGGGGGGGTAGGACCCAAGTCCGCCGCGGAAAAACTCTCCGGGAGCCTCCGCCGCCATATTCCGGCGAGGTGTCGTTTCTCAGGCTATCGACATCCGTTTGATGATCCGAGATCATATCCCGACTCGTTTTGACGTGCTGAACGAAATGGTGACGTCCGTTCAACCAAATTTAATTCTTATAAGAATGGTCTGGTACTGGTTGCACGCAGATCGAGGTGGTTCAGACCAGTGTTGGAAGTTCAGGTCGGCAGGCTGCCCGAAGCCTGAATTTTTTCAGGCTCGGGCGGGCAAGCCCATCTCCCGCCTGCCCAAGCTAGATTTTTGGGTTCGGGCTCGGGCAGCCCGAATTTGACACTGACTCTCTTACCCGCCACCGTCTAACCGCCCTATACCGCCGTCCGCCGAAATTTTTTTGAATTTACCGACCATGCCTGAACTACCCGACCCGCCCGAATTGCCCGACCCGAAAAGAAGCCTGAAAACCCAAATTTTGCCCGAAGCCCGAGTTGCCCGATTTGCCCAAAACTGCCCGAAAATATTAGTTGCTACAAATTGGGGCATTCTGAGAATCAAACTCGGGACCTCTCACACCCAAAGCAAGAATCATACCACTAGACCCAATGCACATATTTGTTATTTAAATTTTTAACTTTTTAATTAAGGTAAACACACAATTCCTTAATAGAAAGAGCAAATTCCTATTTTAGCAGTTTAATATTTCAGTTTTCACATTCTTGACCCTTTTTTATAATCAATCACAAGAAAAAAAGGATTCCTCAAAAAACAATATACACAAGGAAAGAAACACATTGCCATCACATTTTTATTATTTTTTATTTTTAAAAAGTGTTGTTTCTATATAATGCCGGTTTTGTTCTTATAGATACTCGTGTTTTTCTATT